CCTAAATCCCAAGACCCATTAACCGTCTTCAATAATGCAATGAAGGAGATATCTGATGTCTCGTTTCAAGATACACCGAAACCTCTAGCCTACCGGATGCAGAAAGAATGGGATAAAGCCACGAAACGTGAACAACAAGAATGTATTGAAAAGGCTTCTGAAGCATGTCGGTTGGTTTGCAGTTTTATTGCTCCCAGAGCTATGGAAGACTTGTACAAGTCGTTGTCCTTTGAAAGAGAGGTGTCTAATGAGCTAAAAGCTCTTATGACTGCTTAAGCTAACTCTCCTACAAAACAATTGAAAATGCAGATCCTCAGCATATATGCTAACGAACATACAGTAAAGAAGCTTCAGGAACTACATGAGCCCTTTGAGAAAGTAAGCGAATAGCAGATAAAAAGAACCCGTGAACATGCTAAAAATATTGGACCGGGTCTAGAGGTAATCAAACAGAAAACGCACCGCATTAGCTTAGATATGCCGAAAGTGGATCATTTCCTTGACTTCGCAAATAGGCCTTACTTCCACCAAGATGTTGCTTTTGGTATGTGTAAACTAAAATTGGAAAAGGGAGATGTGATTGAGATGCCTTATGTAATAAGAACTGTCACGAGGGCAACGATGATAAACCTGTATCAAATGTTTTGTAGCAGTCAAGACCCTGTATTTGTACCATTAAGTAGATCTACTCTTTACCGCATTTTGGATGCAAGGGAGGCGTCTGAACGAAAGTCACTATCTGGACTAGACAATATTGCAGCAGATGGGGAATCTGGCATTCAAACTATGAAGACTATTACTGAACAACTTGTCTACTGGGGAGTATCGAAGGAATGGGCTGAGAAGATCAACAAACGATTGGACAGTGGTAAGCAGTACCTGAAAACCAATTTTACAGTCCATTGTAAAGAACAGCTTTCCCCCTGTGCTGATCATTGCGGACACTATGCTCTTAGTGACCCAAAGGACAAAAACTTCCAAGTACTATGCTACCACTCGCTTGAAATGATTTGTGAACGCTGCGAGGACATCAAAGCCACACACAAAGAAATTGAAAGTAAAATCCAAGAACATTCTAATGCTAGCTATACTAAAGACAACAGAGATGACCTACTATACGATTTCGCTGAAGCCAAACGGCATATCGAGAAGTGGAAAGCACAAATTTTGCGGTCTGCGAACCAGGATCTATCGAAGCAGAACATTCTAAGCAACCTTGATGATGTCACTATTTTCTTAATTATGGATTGGGCTATGAAATTTACCCAAATCAGGTACGCGCATTAAAATAGATCTTGAAATATGAGTAAATATGTACAAATATATATGAAAAAATGCGATATCAAAGATGATGTTGATAAAAAAATGATGATTTGGTTAATTCCAAACTTAAATGATTGATTAATTGATTAAATATTCATGATTGAATTACTGGTTGATTAACTAATTATTGACTTAATGAAATGTACAATCGATCGATTAATTGATTGATTGACCGATCGGTATATTGATTGATTGATTGATTCTTTTAGATACATAGAAAAGCAATCCGAGTGGTACGGAAAGCGTGGTATGAGTTGGCACATAACAAGTGTAGTAAGAAGATGCAATCCATCCCAGGAGTTATCAGTCAATTCATATGTATATTTATTTGATACAAGTACACAAGATTGGTTCGCAGTTGCGTCTATATATATGTCTTGTTTACATACATGGCTGACGACCGTAAAATAGTGGTAGGAGTCTACAGGACTTCTTGGTCCAGTTTATTTATATACGAGAATCATTTCTTTATTTAACAAAGGATACAGTGAGCAACACTGATACTCTATTGGAGTACTTTGTTGAGCCACAAAATCACCAATTATCAGAATTATGAAGTGCAATGAGTTTTCAAGATCGTAGCGCGATAGCGCACAGTAGTTGACTGATCTGCGTTGAACTGTATGTCATGGAGACAACAAAATAACACTGGAAAAGCCTCATTTAAATATCAACAAACAACGAGAAACTGTTAACAAGTTGTTTCTGACGATGTCTATGCCAACATTTTGTTGCTTTGAAAACTCAAGTGGAGTTCAACACTACGGCAGTCCAGACAGTGTTAGTAGTCAAATATGCTAATTGGCACGAAAAGTGCTCAACTTTGATTGCTGCTTGCGGCCTTGGATTTAGGTAGGTTACAATTTTTTTTGCGTCTTATAATAGTTCAATTCTTCCTTTTTCCTCCCATGTAAGTCTCCACTCTCAGTCAAGTGCCACTTTCGAGAAAATAATTTTTACAATTGTCATGTTTCGTTGGTTCTGCCAAAAGCCGGGAAAAACGTTTTACGTTTAAATCAACTTTCATATGATTCGAAATAGATACGACAAAATACTTCACAGTTATCAAAGACAAGATAATTTGTTAGGTTACTGGGAAATTTGGTTGGTTTTTATTTTAGTTTGAGGAAGTTATAGATCATCCAAGTTAAAGATTTTTTAGCCGCCTCAGACACCGCTGAAGTGCTTTGACATCGACACATGGAGAAAATGCGTAAAATAAAATATAAACTAAAATATAAAATAAAACTCGTAAAATAAATATTTTTTTTAATTCCAAATGCGTAATTGTAATAGGTATATAATAGGGAATTCACACACTCAATATCAGGATGATTGATTTTTCGACCCCAAGGTCGATAGGTGGTTTTTAGAGAGACGGCCTCTTAATTACACATAACAGAAAAAACAATACAGAATTCTTGTTATGGCTTGCTAATTGTTGCATTGGATGTATTTTTCACAATAAATCTAAAACAACTGACTATTATGTAATAGAGGCAAGATCATACTTCAGATAGGTATTCCAGTTTAGCACTATGTTCAAAATCTCATCTTGAAATCACAGAGTATCATTTCTTTCCTGAAATAAATGCAATAGCATTCTCTATTGTTCAAAATATCATACAACAGCTAAACATCACAATACTTTTACTCTATCGCAAGAATGGTGGCAACACTTTTCAATATATACAACTTCTAGAAAACATACTAAACAGCAATAATATTGATATTATTTTGGGTGACTTCAATATAAACTACCTTAATGATAATGAAACTCAGACACTCAGTACTATAATGGAACATTTAAACTATACTCAGACAGTTCAAAATCCCACATTTATATCAGGAAGCTTACTAGACCATGTTTATATAAGAAATGAAATGTGGAACATAAGTAATATTTGTACATCTGTAATACCAGTATTACTCTGATCATGAAGCATTTAAGGTCTCATTTATCCCTAATAAATAGCTACTTCACTTATTAATAAGTATTTAAAAGACTTAAAACAGTTTTTTTTAAACCGATCAATAAAATGATCCCAAAAAATTTTGGCCGCCTGAAATAGGTTGGCCGCCTGAAATAGACATTTCCTATAAAAACCGTACGGAAAATGTCTATTTTAGGTGGCCAACCTTTTCAAGATCAACAGTAGTTATAAGCTAACATAGAGGTTTTCAAAAATTCAAACATTTCACTTGATAATCGAAAATCACACAGAAATAAGCTTTACCTTTTAATACCCTTCTATGCTTAGATAACTACAAAGTTTCAACCAGCACCTTCCGATTCTCCATTGCTACTGCACTGGGCTCAAAACGGACCCTCAAAGCAGACCTATTAGTGTATTAGTGTACACAAACAGTGAGTTTAGACAAGATACAAAGACGAAGCACCAGGCATGTTCGTGTGAGCATGCGTCAAAATGAAGCATTTGCATTTGCGAGCCCTATGTCACAAACGGAGCATGTTTTCAACACTTTTTCAACTTGTTTTACATTATTGTAAACAAAACTATCATCAGGTCTCAACCAGATTACCTCTGCTTTTGGAAAAAAAACATTGACTATATATCTAACAATTTATTTATTGAATTTATTTATTAAACAAGTCATATTTTACCACATTTTTAGAAACACAAGCTTTAAATACATAGCTAAGCTTAAAGTTATATTAATTTCGAAATAAGAGATGCAATCTATATCTGAAGACCTCTCTGAAGATAGAGCTTTATAGCTTGACACGCACAGCATGCAGCCAGCTTGCTTCTCGAGCGCTATGATTACACAAGTTCCTATAAATGCATCAGGAGTTTCGAAGAACAATGCGTCCGCCATCTTGAAAAGTGAAAATTATAACTCCTAAAGAAATTAAAAAGTTCTAAGTTAATTTAAATTTAATATAATATACGTTATGATGATAGATTAGTTGACTAAGCAACTATGAAATTTGTTCTAAGGCAAAACAGTGATTTAGGGCCCACTTTTCAAGATGGCGGACACATTGTTCTCTGAAACTCCTGATGCATGTATTATGGCCAAATTGTTGATGGGAGTCTCCCAGTCATGCCAAGTTTTGCATTCGGGAGGAAAAACACGGGTCCACATTTTCGGTACAAAATCATCGTTATTTTGTTCATCAAAGCTCAATTCTTCCTCTGAATACTCAGAATTATCTCTAAAATATCGCCGTTTCTTTAATTTGGATCAGACATCTATAAACTACATATTTTCAACTAATTAGACAACACGGATCATGCGAAAATCCTCCATATTTATTAGAAAATCCGMGCGATTTGCTCGAAAACTCACCACAAAACGATCGATGTTTTCACTTCGGTTTGACTTCAAAAATACGATGCCTCGATTCCATGATGGTTTGTTAATATAAACAAAGCTTTTGATTCGTCGAGAAAACAAAAGAACRTGGGTTTTTGACCAATCAAAAGCGATGGCTCAAGTGGGCCGATCTAATCGGCCCTTGGCAGCAATAGGGGAGGGGTTCAAAGGCAGAGACCTACGAGTAGCTTACGGAAATTTCTTATCCAATGGAAAGCTCTCATGCAGTGCACGAATATTCAACGAACACTGCACATGGTATGCAAGATAAAACTTTGACATTTTCCTTACAGCCCCAGTTGCGGGGAAGTTGTTGTCTAAGTGGTGTCTCTTCGATCTGTTGGTTGAAAGATGTCGAAATCAAACAAATCAACTCCTAAGAAAGGTATTATTTCCGTTTTTAATTGCAGCATTTGATAGCATCTTAAATAATTCAAATATTTTAATTCAGTTTCCAGATCAACAACGACTATATCACAAGATAAACTGGAATTTCAAAGCTCTTTTGCGACTACTTCTCGAGCACCTTCTCCAATGACTTCTCCGGTCGCTTCTCAAGTGAAATCATCGCCAGTACCATCCAACAACACAGTTTTGGGCTACATTAAAAATGTTAGTCCGATCATGATTAACGCAAAGAAGTCTGAATATTTTACATTCAATATTCAAGAAAAATGCAAGACGACTAAGGCGCTGTGCTTCTCACCCAAGAAACATAAGATGAACGTAGAAAGAAAAGCAGAATCTGGTACTCCCTGCAAAGTCACTAAGTATGCGCCACACGCACAAGAAGAAAATGTCATATGGATTAACGCTTGTACAAGGATTGACGATGCTCAAGAAACCACCGTTCATTTTGCACCAAATGATGCTCCAATCGATCCACAAGTGTGCTCAACAACTAACATCGACAATATCAAGCCACATCAATCCATTACTATTCGAGGCTATCTAATGTTTGGAGATGCTCAAACCGAAGAAATAAAACTCAATCTTGTAAAGAAAGATGGCTACTTGATTGACGAAAACGGTTAAATAAGAATTACATTGTTTAACGAGCACATCCACCAAGCATCTGAAGAATGCTATTATGAAATCAAAGATATCCATGTTAGAAAGTATCTATCTTGTGCAAAAACTACAACTTTCACGGTCCTCACAGACAACGTCCCAACGGTAAGCGACGAAGCAAAGAAACAAGTCGAGAGTGAGCTAACTAACGTTGATGTTCCATGCCAAAACATCTTGAACATTGAGATGGACATATTTTACTCTTGTTTGTCATGTACAAGGAAAGTCCCATTTCAACCAGGCTCCAACATGCTCAGATGTACCCACTGCCAATCGAGGTTCCTCGTCAAAAATAGCACAAAGAATTTCAATGCGCGAATTCAACTGCAAGTAGACGCCGAACAGACCAAATGGTATTCGTTATTCACACCGTCACTACAGCAAATCGTAGAAAGCTATAACCGTGAGAAAGTTGCCAATAGAGTTTTTCTGTATCCTCTGTTTTTCACAGACCTTTGTTTTTCACAGATATATAAAAACAGTGATAATCTCCATTGTTATTGTAATAAATAGGCGTTAATCCACTATGAAGCGTCATGGGCGAAAASTTATTTTTTGTTGCTGTTTTCGAACGGTTAACAACACAAAAACTCGCGTTAAGCAAACTTTTTACAAGTTTAATTTAGTGTCCGAGGTGCATTTTGTATTAACAATGAGCAAAATGTTATCTTTTTCACGAAGCACTAAAAGGGTACAGGCTCTCGTAGGAATGATAGKTCGTTTTWTTGTTTTTGACTCCTACCATCTTATCCAAATACAAGTTCTTTTTAGATTCCAAAGCCCAGGTTTTATTTTATGGTACGAAAATGATCAATGTAAACGTGTATTTCTGTAAGCAGAGTTGGTTTTGAAAACGCGATTTTGTGTGAAGGCGTATAAAGTTTATGTTTAATCTCCATTTGGGTCAACAATGTGAAAACGCAGACGTCACGAATAAGCGTTTCTTTTATCAGTACACACGTCCTGTCCATACAAAGCAGCTTGACTCCAACGGTTCTAAAGGATGGGTTGAAATGACTCCTAAATGATTGCTCTTTTGAAATATGCGTTTATGTGCGTTTGTGTTTACAAGCGTTTGGTTTAGAAACGTTGGAATTCACGAGCGTTTTAGAGAAGTTTAAGATCGTATGTAAGTATTGGGAGGTGATGCTTACAAGCGTTTGCGCTTTTGAGAGAGTTTGCGTTTACAAGCATTATCATGCATCATCTTTATCATTTTTGTTTTGGTTTATTACTGTGTAATATGCATTATTTTTCATCAATTCATGAAAAAGTACTTGATACCGCACATATTATGCATTTTGAGTGACAAACTTGAGTCCCTCGTATCTGTGCGGCTAAATGCAGCTGTGGACTGATTTTTCCAGCATAGTGCGGACGGAGCTTTTAAAGTTGTCTCGTCCATACTATGCTAGATAAATGTGAAAACGAGAATTTCACATTCTAAAGTTTTCCATCCAAATATGAATAGTACCGTTTTCGGATAGGAATTGCCCTATCGCATAATTACGTCACACCTAAACATTCCATGGTAACGCTAAGGGSCACGCTAAGAATTRTGGTCGCCAGAGGRGRTCAGAGTGACTGAAATGATGTACATCAAAACTCTACATATCAAAGCTCTACGTTTGGAATGGCGGTCGTGAACGTGGGACCAGTGACAAATCATGGAAACGAGACCCTAAAGGTCTAACATCTAAAAATCACTAAGAAGATCGCAAAAGTTTGAAAGATGTATTGGTATGTTATTTTTCTAGCCTGAGTTTCAGGCTCTCTCGAAGGGAATYGGGGCGGAGCAACATACTCAGGCTATTATTTTTCACAAAACATTAACTCTTTCAAAACAGCATGGAAGTTGACTATACGGAGGCTGGCCTTTAAGACGTTTTAGTGCTTTGTTGCAGTATCCTGACTCGGAGAGGGGATGGGGATACTCCCCTATATTTGCTATAAGGTTATGTGCCGCTCGACAGTGTCCCTTTTTCCGAGCTCCAGTGTGGGATAGGATATCAGTTTTTGTCTACAAGTTTGTCTTGTATAGGGTAGACTAGGATAGGGTATTGTCTCATTGTCTGGGGTAGGGTGGAGTTTTGCCTGTGATCGCATCTGCTAGGCCACGCTTTCAGCGCTAAAAATATGTACCTTTGTACCCTTAATTTGGGATAGGGTATGTAAAATCACAAAAATTGGTCTTGGATAGGATAAGGATTTTGAAGCCGTCAAGTTGAAATGAAGTTGCAGTCGATTCTTATATCATATCATATTCACTTATTCAGGAATAAGTGAATATGATATAAACGACTCTATTTCCGTTAACAAAAGAGGAAAAACAAAAGTTTATTTCAGGCGAGGTTCAAACCCATGGTTCGTACTTCGACACCGCGAGTTCATAATTGAAAGAATTGCTCCAGGGTGGACTGTGATTAGTGTGGACGGAATTGAAGGCCTATGATAAAGAAATTTTGAGATTCAAATTATCCGCCATAGTATGGGTGCTGCTTACATATGGAAGGTGCTTGTTGTGTATGGCCTAAATGCATATTAGTGTGAAAACGATGGGAAAATACTGGAAACCGCAACAACAAAAAAGAAGTGAAACTAGATATTAATAAACGATGATGGATATAAACACATCCATTTTCGATCGGAAGCAAAAATTTAATTATGAAAAACATAAGTTTCTATGAATCCAAAGCCGTGTTTTGATTCAGGCTGTTTATCCACAAGAATACAATCGTAAAGGCAAACGCTCGAAAACCGTTTACTTCAGCATGTTCCATTCACACGAAAGCAACCACCAGTCATTACTTAAATGGCATTTACGGCAATATTTTACGGTCAGTGTTTTCATTGTTTTTGTATGTATGAAAGGCCAGCCCTAAACGCCACACAAGTAAATAGCGTTTATGAGAGTTTGTGTACGTCGCTGAAGTGCGGTCGTTTTTGCGCACGTTTTCCCTGCTAACAGAAGCTAACAGAGGTGTCCGTAGCATAGCCTTTGTTAGCAGGGAAGCGCGGGTAGGGCCAAAGAGTAACTTGTATATGAGTCATTACTAAATTGGTTATAGAGATTTATCAATAACTACTCTATTTTTGACGACACATACGTGCACAGGCCAGCAATAACGCACCATGAAACAAAGGTCATCAAAATCCATTGTCATGCATCTTATCATTAGCATGTTAAAACACAGCCTCTGTCTTTTGGAGTGAAAAACAGAGGATACAGAAAAACTCTAATGAAACACTTGACAGCATAGATGAAGATGTATTGTCCTTGGCGGGTAGACTTACGGTAAAGGTAAAGATTCTATTTTTCAAAACCATGTTTGAAATTAAATAATTATACTACATTTTGAACACATTTAGTGTTTATGCTCTAATATTTTGTGTTTCTTTTTCCTCAAAATAATTGATCATAGCTGTTAGTAAAGTTAAATGCAAATGATTTTAAACAATGGATTGAGGTCAAGATAAGCCTTTTAGGAGAAAACAATAGCTACGCCCAAAAGCCTCTATTTGAATCCATTGTTTAAAATAATTTGGATGTAACTGTAATAACAGCCGACAGTAGTGTTAGTTTAAACAGATATGATACTGAAATGTAAGAAAAGATCAAGCATACCATAAGTCAATGGTTCACATTGTAAAAGTATCTGTTTCAAAGTTGTTACTCAGTTATTTGAAGTTCAATAAAATACGTTTGACATTGAATTTTTATGCATCTGTTTAATTTATTTAGTTAATATCTCTCTGCTGAGTATAAGAACTCTAAGACTGAATCCATAAGTCGTAATTTTTGCTCCTCAGTTCTATGTTTTTTCAGTTTGTGGCAAATTAAAATAATCCAACCGAGAGTGAACTGGGACCAACTTATGGAATTAGTCTAAAGAACACTTACATTAGCATATTTATTCGATATGTGACAAATAAAGATATTTGTCAACTTTGGAATTATTTTTGATTTAATAGAGACCATTTGATTATTGCAATGCACAAGGTGGACTGTGTTTTCCTCAAGTGGAACAACCCTGGAACACTTTTAATTTCTCTCTTTCTATTTTGTTGTTTTCACATGACTATTTACCTTCATTTACTGCACTCTTTCATAAGTCTAAAAACCACCCTAATATGTTCATAGTAAAACAGTACAAAATGAAAGTGAAATCATTTAGCCTATTAAATAAATATTAATTCTCAAAGACAAATTGACAAAAAAAAACTGAATTAGCAAATCTAAGAGATGAGATGAGATGTCTATGTCTAAGTCAGCTTAGTTCATGTTCTAGTCAAGGCGGCCCAAATTTCACCTTTTCATGGACCACGTCACGTGTATAGTCTTCCATGATGCTTTGAGAACTTACTAAAGGAAGCCCATACTAATATGATAACATATCTAAACTACGAGTAGTACTGTCCCGGGATTCCTGTGGAGCGCACCGGAAGTCCATCTACCCGATTCTTACCAATCCTTTAAACTGTCACATCACATGAGTTTGCTTGTGTGACCTGTTAATCATATGCTATGACGTCATATGTCACGTGATCCTTGTCAAAACATGCATCTAGCCCGACTTCACGCTACATTAGCGTCTAGTTAAGCAAAGAATCAGACAGCATTTGACTTTGTTCAAAAAATAGTTATTAAATAAACATGAACTTACCATTTATTGCAAGAAACTTATCAATGAATTTAAAACCATTTTTCTTTACGTGTGACTCTAGCCCAAGGGACTCCAATGAGGCTGGTACATCAAAGTAGATATAACCGTGGTGTCTACAATATGTAAGGGAAATACACAATCCACTACTTGAAGTATTACCAACAGGATCCAGCAGGTTCATCCTAGAAATGTCTGTTAAAAAACAAAAACAAGTAAAATGTTAAGGCACATATTCTATAGTATTTCACACTTGAAATACAGTTTATATAATTGTAACTGCCTAGATGTTTTGGGTTATACTTTTGAGATCCTTTATTAGTCTTACTACTGAATATTTACAGCAATATATCAAAGTTCTTAAAGGAGTATAAAGCTTGAGACTAATGTTAACTAAGGTTAAAAATTCTGTTTTACAACTACTATATAAGTCCTTTGAACTTTAGACTAAACAATCTAACGAAAAAAAGGTCTTAACCTCGCATGATTTTTGAATGTTTGTGATTGTTTTATAAGAAAGTTTTTCGATAAGCTTATRAAAGCTCAAATGTCTGCTCCTCAGCGTTATTTTAGATTTTATCTGGATGTTTTGTCTGTGCTCAATCTCGATAAAGCTTTAAGCTTACCTTAGTTGCTTCGCTTTAGGGCAATTCCACGTTGTGGACATTACGTTTGGAAGCTAAATTTTGTATTTTAAATCTCTCTTAAATGTCTACAAAAATAATTTAAAAATAGTTTTTTTGCAGCTTCTCATCGTAGATGGAAGCAGCAATGGTATCGAGTTGTGATAGAGTGAGTCATTTTCGGAAAATCGAAGATTATTCGGGTGTGAATCGGTACTAATTTACACGTGAATAAAATAGTATCAGGGAAATATAATTCAGTGAACATGGTCGATAGAATATATTTGTGTTATTTCTGTCTGTTTTTATTGTTATTTTCTGTTGTTTTCGTCTTTTTTGGATCATTGTACGATCTTCCGACATTTTTGCGACCACACATCCTTTCACGAGGTGGCTACGATTGTTTATCGATTGTAATGTGGTTTCCACGTGCTTTTCGTTCTTCGCACTGTTCAACTCTGCAACTCTGATTATATTTCATACAATGTTTTTATCCTTTTTTGCTTCAAGAATCAGGCACAGTTTTGTACGGCGCTGTGAAGAAGTGTTCGATGTAGATTTAGGATTTTAGACAATTTTTCGTCGCTACGTGCAAAGAAAATAGTGAAGCATGAAGACCCAGATT